AACAAAATCATCATGTCTTCTGGTTGCTTTAAATTTTTTCCACATATTTTTCTTGTGTTTAATTAAAGTTAAAAGTTGTCCATTGATCCAGGGTTTTAATTTGTTCTCAGGACATTTTTTGTTTTTTGTGTTAGCCTTTACAATTTCAAATATCTTTGAATGAAATAGTGTCCACATATCTTCTACTAATACAGTACTTCTAAAAAAGTGATCCCAATCAATTTCGGAGAGGACTCTCTTTACGTTATTAAAGTTTGTGACGCTATAGGTTACGTCCATATCGGAATTAGGGGTTTCCATGTTAAATTGCATGTTAAATATAATAACGCCATGGTCAGATTTCCCAATAGGTGAGTGGACAGATGGAGAAATTAGAAGTTGGTCGTCATTTGTTAATATAAGATCTAGAGTTGAAGGTTCTTGATTTAAGCGGAAGCGGGTAGGTTCGTTTATAAGTTGTTCAAGATTTGAGTCTACAATAAAATTTATGAAGTGTGAAACAGAGTTTTGCGATACTTCAAAACCTGCAGTAAGGAGCCAGGAAATTTCTGGATAGTTGAAATCCCCAACCACCACAAGATTGTCATGGGAAATAGATAGATTTGAAAGTACCTCAAAAACCTGTTGGTCGTTTTCTAGAAAAGTTTTCTTTGGAGGACGATATAAACATATCAGAGTGGTTGAGAAAGATTTGTATGATAGTTTTAACGAGATTAAATCTATATTGGGAATGTTGATATCTAAGGCGGTGACAGAGTAGGTTGAAGTGATGGATGACGCTAAGTAGATGCAGACCAACATTATTTGCGCGGTCGCTTCTGTAAATTGTAAATCCAGGAATGTTAATAAGTGAATCGGGAATAGATAACCTGAGCCAAGTTTCAGAAATTAGAATAATGCTGGGAGAAAAATGTTGCACTGAGCACAAAAAAACTATTAAATTTAGCAGTTAGAGAATCCAGGTTAGTATACATAAGGGTCCAATCGTTAAACTGTGGAGGTTGTCGACTAGCGGGATTGAAAGGGATTTATCTTCACAATTTTTGGAATCCCGTTATGATATTTAATTGTTAGGTCATTTTCGCCATTCCGTTTTTTAGCTTCTAATTCATCTCTTAAGTTTTGAAGAATCTGTTGTTGGGTAGGGGTTTTGTCGTCGATAATGGTAATGTTCTTCAATGTTGCTATTTCTAAGACTTTCTTTTTGTTTCGTAGAACGTTTTTGGCGGCGTGTTCGGAGGGCATAATTACTTTATCTCCTAGATTAGATTAGATTAGGAGTTGCATGTTATTTGTCCTTGTCCACCGCTACCTTTTCATATCTATTGTGGGACTCCGTTTGTTTTAGAATATGTCGTCTAGCCTGGTTTTTTTTATTAGACTTAGTAGCTTTGACAGTGGATTCCGCATGTAGTTGCATGCAATTGGCTTTTCTTCGCCCAATATTAGAAACCTCATTCCAGCCAGGCCTTCGCATTGACACATGACGTGGAATTATGTTTCCTATTATTCTTTACAGAACCTGCGCAAAGTTGCTCCTTCTGCTGGATTTATAACACGCATGTGCCTTTTGAGGCGACAGTGTCCAGTAAGAAGGCCTACTGTTATCCTAACGATTTGACGCTTTTGATTCAGTAGATCTTTCGTGAACTTGGCCGATGGTTCCTTGATGAACTGTTTGGCCTGTCTCAGTTTTGGATAGTTGTTCCACCATTCCTGAGACTCTTTCTGCATCCATTTTTCAATGGATGGCTTGCACAATGCCTTAGCAACTCCACAGAAGGGTTCGGGGCCTGTCATGGCCTTATCTGATCCTTCTCGGGCTAATTCGTCGGCCTTTTCGTTGCCCTGATATCCCTCATGGCCTGAAACCCAGGCTAAGGTCACCTTATTTAGACTACTTAGCTCTGTCAGGTCTTCTAGACAGTCTTGATTTGATTTCTGGTGAGAGAATTGCCTTTAGAGCTGCTTGGCTGTCAGAGTATATGGCAATAGTTTTGCCTGATACTTGCTGATTTAATATTTGTCTTTCACAGTGTTGTATGGCTATTAGCTCAGCCTGGAACACTATTGCATATTTTCCTAAACTCAGCGAAATCGTTGATTTCGTCTTGGGTCCGTAGATTCCAGCACCGGTTCCTTCCTTGGTTTTTGAACCGTCTGTGTACCAGACGAGTTCAGCCTGTACGGGAGGTCCCTGTTTCCAGGATTCTCGGGCTGGTATTTGAATTTGAAAATTTCTTTCAAATTTCTTATCTCCTATATATAACGTCTATTGTAGGTTTTGTAGCAAACAAAAAAGATTAACACATTTTCTGCTTAGTTCATAGTGTTTACAGTAAAATACAAAATAATACATGACCATTCTGGAGTAGACCTAAACACTGGAACACAAAATATAAAACATAAAATACAGTCTTTAAACTAAATTGTGTAAAATTACGGATAAATAAAACAACATAATCTCAAAAATACTTTTATGCTTAAAATATTAGTAGACGAGGCGTTCTTCAGCAACAATCGTTGAATTTACACACATACTTCCATCATATTAGAGTCGCAGCACACTTAAAATATTCTTATGAAGCTTTATATGTAGAGTTTATTTGGTTTGGAATAGTGTTGCCAGAATATAATTTCGTCTAAAAAATATACCAGACTTCATAAATGAACCAGATTTTTTTGAATTCTATTTGCAGTAAACGTCTAATTCATTGAAGAACATAAAAAGGGATTTTTATAGAAAACGAACACAAACAAGCAAGGCAGCAATTTTACACGTCAACACTGCTGCACGCCGGGAAGAAAAAGTGTACTAGAGTACTAGAATAAACTACATCTAGTACAATTGTAAATTGTACTAGATTGGCAACACACTGGTTCTGTGTACTTGGTCTGTGAAGATAAGTGTGTATAATTTTGGGTCTTAAATTATAATTTAATTCCAACATATATTATGTATATTGTGTATTAAATTATCTATAAAATGAACGACATATCATGTGTATCAAAAAGCCAAAATTGGAATAATAATAAATATTTGATTTCTAACAACGAAGTCTTTATAGAACTGCCATGCAATAAAAGTGTATCAAGGAATAACAGGTGTTTAATGCGTATGACGCAAGGGACGCAATGCAAGTATGAAGAAGATATGTAGGACCAACGATCCTGTCAAATTAAAGTATTTCACAATTTATTTAGCTTATTTAACAAAGTTTCAATGCTTTTTTAGGGACTGGTAACTGATCTTGAAGTTTTGGCAATCGACCAAACTTCTTTAGCTTCTTCATTGATTGTTAGGACATCTTACTCCTAACTAACATAAAAAATTATTATCAAAACAAAATATTGATAAAATATTCTGATTTACTATTTGTTATATCAGCTCTATTCGTGAAAAAAATATTTTTATTTTCTACCATGCTTATTTACGCAAGCCGTATTGGATATTCCGTAGACCCTAAATATTTTATTTTGAATTCCAGACACAAGTCGTTAGTTTACATATAGTGTACGTGATTTGGGGAGTAAGTTTGATGCCTCAATCCTGCATTTGATAGAGAAAAGCTACCGTGACGACTCTAATGGTTGAATCTTTCTTGTTTTTTTTGTAAATTTCCTTTTTTATAAAAAAAAATAGTGGAGTAGTTTAAAATAAGTAAAAAAGTAAAAATATGACATTTTAAGTCAAAAAAAACTGTTACATGTGTACCTCAAGGGACGGTGCTAGGGCCTATTCGTTTTAAATAAGTATAAGAATAATTCTTCCTGGTAGAGATCAATTGTAAAATAATTAGTTTTGCTAACTATACAGTATTATTTCGTAGCACAACTAGTGTATACTGAAATGAAAAGAATATTGAGTGAAAATAAAGATGTAGTTTGGAAATATACTAGATCATATCTTAAGATGGAATTGACACAAAATATATGTTTAAAAAACTGCGTCAAATTTGATGAAAAATCCTGTTACTATATTTTTCCTAAACAAAATAATGCTATTATGGACTTAATGAATATGAAAATAATTTAGAAATAAGGTTATAATTGTTAGACTTTAACAGTTTATAGAGTGGAAGAAATCCAGTCAACTGATCTAAATAAATCAAAAATAAAAATAAAGTATTTAGTGTGTTGTAAACCAACGATGTTCTATTTTCAATTTTAAAGAAAAAGTAGTATTATACAAGACTTTAGTTGAATCGCACCTTAATTATGGAATAATAGGATGAGGTAGCGTAACAAAAATGTATACCCTTAATCAGTAATGATGATTGTTGTCACAAAAGTTGAGTAGCTGCTAGAAAAATATAATGTAAGCCTAACCCCTACCAAATCTTTACAGCCACCGACTTACCAAAATGGTGGCCATCTCACCCGATTTTACCCTATATAAAAAAAATAATTTACTAATTATTTGAAACCATTAGATATTTTTAACAAAGACTGTTTCTTCTATATAAAAACCATAAATACTAATAAAAATATTAGTTCTCACAGAACAATTGTCACGTTTTACCAAACAATACGAATCTACCTACCAACACCGTGCGAGAGGAGGAAGTGTATATTATAGTGCTGATCCCGACAATCTCATTCAACGTTCCCTTGGGACTCTAGAACGTTCCCACGTTCGGTCGTGAGACTACTTGCCACCGTATTAACTTAACTATCTATACACACTTATTCGGATCATTCTGTTTGTCTGCCTCTCATTGCTGATTATTTTTAGGCCCTTTCAGAAAATTCTATTTTAATTTTTTACTGTGTCTTGTATAAGAATATATATTATTTGAGGAGCTAACTTTCACACGCAAGCTAGTCCATATTTTTTGAAATCGAGGTTTTAAAATTTTAAAATCAAAAACGTTCTGCTTATGAGTCCACTATTCTAGAAACAAATCTAAGAGAGTGTACCTTAGATGTGATCTGAATATCAAGAAACTTCATAAAGCATACAATTCCATTAATAAAAACGATTTCGTGTATCTCTTGCAATGTTTCGACGTGTCTTCAACAAGGACTTTAATATTGGATTCAAGAGTCCAGCAACTGACATGTGTAGTTACTGTGAAAAGACTAGAAACCTCATAAAAAATGCTACTGGTGAAGCCAAAGTTAACTTGGTAATACAACTCAGAATTCATAAAAAAAGAGCTTAAGCTTTTTATAAACTCATGAAAGAAGAATATGAAGAAAACATCTACTGCTTTGACATGCAACAAGTGTAACAGTTACCCAAAACTCCTATTAAAGAAGCATTATATTTTCGGCAACTTTCATTCTATAATCTATGTATTACAGATGTAAAAAATGCTAACTTAATCTTTTACACTTGGACTGAAGACCAAGCTGTGATTTTAACGGAAAAAAGATATTAAAGCTCCTCTGTGATGGATGCGGAGGACAAAACAAAAACAACGTTGTTATCCACACATTAATGTACTTCCTTTCAATCCACCAAGGTCCTATCAAAGAGATCATCATTACAATTCCTATTCGAGGCCATAGTTTCCTCTATGCCGACCATGTTTTTGGAAGGTTAGAGAAACTTCTTCGGAAGAAATTTACTATGGTAACAAAAGAAAAGCATTATGAGCTATTTAAAGAAATGTTTCACCCGCAAACCAGTTGGGAACAGATTGAAAACTGAAAGACACCAAAAGTATCTCTACATATCTAAAGAACATAGAGAATATAAGTAATAAGAAAAGAATTTACTTAAAAAGAATCACAACAGTCTGGAAAAACTAATATTACAGTCTAAGCAAATAAAAATTTCAGATTCGAGCATGAATATGAAAAATATATTTCACTTCTGAAGAGGGGTCGTCAGTGGGGATCTGATTCTTTTGTATTGGAAGACAAGCAGTTGGGTCACATGATTTCGGATGCAAAGAAAAAAGATATAAATGATTTACTGACAGCTTTATATGGTGAATAGAGAGAAATAGATAACCTACACTTCTACAAAGACATTATTGATGATGAAAATTTGACTATTGTTAATAATAATAATGATGATGTTAATGAAAGATGTGACTGCTTAGAAGATGATTGTTGTGGGGTGTATACCTGACAAGATTGAAAAATTCTACACAGAAAATTAATTTGATTTCAATTTTAAAATGAAAAGATATCTGTCTTTTTACCTACGTAATATTATTCTGTTCCTAATTTAAGTACCTCTATGTAAAATATAAAACTTGAACATTACTCAAATAAAACAAATTGTGTTTTTATTGCTTCCGATCAAAAACGAATTTGTTCTGGACGTTCCATTCAAACGCGAACTTGTCCAAATTGTTCAGTCAAACGCGAACGTGTCCAAAATATAATGTAATGAAATAAAGCATTTTTCAGCTTCATTTCCTCTTAGATCAGAATCAATTATTTGTATTACCTGGAAAATCCTTTTAAGGTGACTAGTTCGCGTTTGAAAGGTAGCTCCGTATTTGTTATTGGGCTCTAAATTATGATTATTTAATTCATTATTTTGACTTCTCGGTTTCTAATCTCTAAATTCAAATTTTTTAAAAGTCTCACGACACAATTTGTTTTATTTATGCGCATAGCTCACTAGCTTGTAGAGTATTCAAGTATAATTATAGTACTTTTAGACGGTCATATCAGTTCTCCCTTCAGTCTCAGTTTTATTCAAACTGTCAGTTAGCAGTGTGTGTAAACACAAAAAATTGTAAAAAAAACTGAAACTGATACGGAGCTGTGACTCGATGAGTATATCAAGTTATCGTATCAGTTGTCAGTTAAATGGATGGAATTTCCAAACTGAACTGATAACACTGTACTGAAACTGAGACTGAACGGAAAACTGATCTGACCGTCTAAACGTACCTTTAGGAAAAATCAACAAGATTCAACTTGAAACTTACTCGTCGTACAGTATTCGAGTCTGGGGTGCTATCTAAACTTTTATCGAATTATATTGCACACATAATTAACTACTGATCTTTTTCATTAACATTATTCGTTCAGTATCAGAACCCCCCTTAAGTTATTGTCATTTTAAAATAAAACCAAAAAACAAAGTAAAGCCATATTCGAGCGATCGACTGGTTTAAATATATTTCATATGGTTTGAAAATGGTTTGAACTATTCCCATTCGGATGACCAAACAATGACGTCACCTTGAATTAAATTTAAACCAGTGCATCTGTTTTTGAAACGTCTTCTCGAGAACGGTTCGAAGAAATAGAAGTGTCATTAATGTCAAACAAAAGTAATTATTAAGCATCATATAACGGCGTACACAATAAAATTAATATAAAAAAGATTTAGTTACAAGAAAAAAATAGATAAGTTAATCGGTTCAGTTGTCTTTTTAAATAACTTGTAAAGGCAGATAGTAAAAATGATATGATTTACCTTTTAAAAAAATTTGGGTGTCTTGTTAACTTTATCTTTTAGTACAGATCTATGGAGTAAGGCTAGGGATCCACAAAACACTCACGCATGATTCCTACGGACTTGAAATTGACAAATTTTAACTGTGACGTCACCGTTTTAAAATCATTTATTTGAGCGCTTTCATAATTTATGACGTGTTATTAAAACTGGTTCTAAAAGTTGTCGAAAATATTTTTAAACCAAAGGAGACCGCTCGAATATGGCTTAAAATTCCATTCCTGATTGACTTCAACTAAATTCACTTTTTATTCTAATAAAGTTCCTTGGCTGCACGCCTAATGCATTCGCAACTTGTAAATCTATTTTCAAAATGTTGGCTATCCATATTGTTACCTGAAACATTAACAACCAGATGCTACTCACTGCGAAAAATGTTATTATAGCTCACGGTAAATCCACTTTAATAACAAATATAACTGTCGTTTAGAAATTTCTAAAGCAAAACACGAGGCGTACTTTGATTTATTTACCCGTGTATGTGCGTGTTTTATCCGACTTTAATCTATTTCGTCTTTTTCTATTGCAGGTAAGCAGCGAGTTATTTGCGATTGTCACTGACAGGGAAAGAAGAATGGGTTTTAGTCTGGTTACTGTAAGTAAGAAAACTAACTAATCATTCGTAAATAGCTTAGGAGTTACATAAATAACACTAACGCATACAAATCATTCACGCTTCTACAAGTGACAGTTATATCTAACAAATAAAATGAACTAGGTATGTTTTGAATTAAACGCAATAATTAATTTCATCGTACGGAAGTTATGATGAAATTCGCAAAATACAAAAACAGAGAAAGATTTATATTTTAGTTCATATCTTCTAATTCAAATTGTTAAATTTCCCCAGAACAATAAAATATTGCTAAAAATGATCTGATGAATTCGAAAAAAAAGTCTGTATTTCGAAAACTATTTAGTGTACAGAGACGCTTCTAGTCTCAAATTAGCGTAATTTTAATCGAAAACTAGTCCTTTAGGGTTAAAATCGTAAAAAACTAAAAAGAGGTCAAGAATTTCACTTTTTTTTTATTTTTTGTATTTTTTAGATTTATACAAGTTTGTCAATAGTTAGTTAGTCTCATTTTTCTGCAGATTGCGTATTCTGACAGCTCCATGCAATGGATATGCTTCTGTACTCGGCAATGACCAGTCACAATACTTGTGACCTTGCGCAGATTATGTCTAGTCGTAGTCAAGTATTTGTTGCTATAGTATTGTCAGTATAACTTAAGACAACTCTGCAGTTTCTTATTTCATCCCATCTTTCCTTTTAGATCTTTACAATTTGATCTATATCCTGAAGTGTGGCAGGAATCAACTATCTTTTCCATTAAGAAACCTGACAAAGATCATAGCTGTACTAATTCCTACAGGCCTATCGCACTAACATATAACTCATAGAGAAGATTTAAATTTCACAAGGGAATGTTTTTTTTTTAACTAAAAAAGGGTAAGATCCAAAACTAGTAGATTAGCAAGACGGTTATCTTTCGATGTGATCCATCTTAAGATGACCACATTATTGATAGATACTTTGGCCAAAGCTTCGTGATATTCTAGTACTAACCCTGAGCAAATTCGTGGTTTATCCAGGGTGAGTAGTGCTTGTCTGCTATCTGTATAGACGAGCATATTGTTTTCAGTGATATTGCTTCTGGTAACTTCTTTTTCTGCTATGAGAACTGGCATACTGGCATTATTGCTTTAAGCTCATTTTATATTTAAGTTTAAGGATCTGGAGTATATTTTACATTCTGAACCTTGTTTTGTTTTAGAACCGTTTGTTTAGATATGAATCGTACATACCATTTCTGACTCTTCTATTTGGAGACAATGTACTTGATCAGAAAACTGCAAAATTTTTCGTTTTTTTTTTTCTTTTTTTATTATTGATATTAATGTGTCTTGACATCAAAGGCCATTGACACAGGTACAGAAGGTAGTATTACAAAATTTAATAAAATTGAACATATTTCCTTTGATATGAATATATTCTAAGGTTTACAGTAAAACTGAGCGAGGAAGGTAGTCAAATGTTGCTGCTATGACTTGTTGGTTCTCATTAAAGGCATTAATTATATGTGTCTAAAGTACAGTTCATCAAATTTCTAGAGGCTTTCGACGGCTAGACAGAGAAAGCACTACTGACAGGCATCCCGACGGATTTACGCAATGAAAGTACACTCTGCGCATCAAGTATTTCACTATTTCATTCAGACGTAAATGTCAGATGTAAATTTCGCTAAAACATTTCTTTTATTTTCGTTTGTGTTTTTTGCTCATTACAGTTTAATAAAACCTAAGTATGGAGTTTAATAGCAAATTAAGAGGCCGCGTGATTAACAGTCAATCTCGCGAAATAATAGCCAATGTTATAGAGTTTATGAGAAGAGAAGGAAACTTTAATTCACCTTCAATACCATTTAAAAATGTAAATGATCGTGTTGCTGCAGCCACAGGAGTATCTAAAATACTGTCGTCCGCATTTCTGGAGAGAAAAAAAGAATCGATAACCGTGAGATATCGGAATTTTCATCACCAAGAAAAACCATTAAAAAACCAAAAACAGTTAATGATATAGATGAAGCTGCACAAGAATCAAATTTTATTTTTTTATTATTAGATAGCTATTTTTGTTTCTGAGTTGTGTTCATTTACAGGCTCAATTTTTTTCCGTTTCTCCTTTTTGATTTTATATGGGGTTTCAAGTTGTTTTTGACTTATTTCGACGTAAATCACAACAACACACTTTTTTAATAAAGCAAACAAGTGTTAAGCGGTATATGTACGTGTAAACTACAATTACAAAAAATTTATATGAAACCCATGAAACCACCAACAAAAATGTAAAGCTAGCTTCCGTACTAGAACATGGTGTCATTCGTCGAGATAATTTATCGTTTTGTTTAATAGATCAAGAAATGTAAATATTCCCCTGTTATTTTTTATAAAATTATAAGAGAAATAAATTTTTTTCTAAATAGTATAGTTTATTATTTTGTAGAAAAACAAAATTTCGAAAATTTTAGTAATGTTTCAGAAACAACCGCTATTTCCACGATTTACAAAGGCCTACAAAAAAATTATAGGTATTTTCCGCTATCCTATAAAATTTATATTTTCTGACTCAATTTCAAAAGGTTGAAGGAATTCCAAAACACCTTTTATGGCATAATAATTATTTTCAATTCTACATACTATCTTTAGCTGCTTTTAAAAACGTTCTAAGAAAGTCCAATCAGACCAATTTAATCCCTAAACTATTCCACACTTTTAAAATTTAATTACCTAAAAATATTAAAAACTATTTAAAATAACTTGTTTAGCAGACTGTACAATAGCTATCTTAGTCACACGTAGCGCGTTCTCTGTCTGGGCGTCGAACACCTCTAGAAATTTGATGAACTGTACTAGTAAATTATCTACAGTGTAGCGTTCTGGTGTAAATCTCGACTGAGCAGAAGAGGGAATCTTGTGTTTTTCAAGATACCACATGAGTCTATTATTAACTATCTTCTCCAGTAGTTTGCACAAGGTACATGTTAGTGCGATAGGCCTGTAGGATCTTTGTCAGGTTTTTTAATGCGAAAGATAGTTGATTCCTGCCACACGTTAGGGAAGTTTCTTTTGACCCAGATAAAATTGTAAAGATCTCAAAGTTTGTAAAGGCTATTGGAAGACATATTTAGAACATATAGGGAAAATGGAAGGAGTATTATCGAGTCCAGCGGCGGAGACTTAAGTGGCTGATAGAGCTACAGAAAGTTCTTAAAACGAGAAGAGAGAATTTAAAGCATCGAGGTCGTGACCGATATTAGGAGATAGAGGATGGCTGGGAATGTTTGGGCTGTGGGGGTGTACTTGGTTTATATTTTTAAATTTATCTTGCAGGTAAGAAGCCAAGATATTAAGTATTTCTTGATCATCTGTGACGATATGGTCTTGTTGAATAATTGCTGAAATTACTTTTTCCCTGCATTTGTCTAATTTTAGTCCACACTTGGGAGCAGTGTCCGAAGTTATGGACGAAACGGTTGCTATTCCAACTGTCTTTTTTAATTTACATTATTATTCTTTTTGTTCTGGCTCTAAGCTTTTTAAACTCAATGAAGTCATGTTCGTTCCTTGTTCTCCTTATATCTGTTTAATGCCGTTTTACTTTCTCTTATCGCAGATTTACAATTCTCATTCCACCAGGGGACAATTTAGAGGAGATATCACAGTTTCCCCAACGTGTCAGTATTTGCTAGCAAATTTAATTCATCAATTTGATTTTCTACATGTGTATATGCGTTATATTTTCAGATGGTTTATGAGCGTTGTCAGTGATGAAGATAGGAAAATGATTACTGTCATGGAGGTCATCTAATGGGTTTCATGGGAGTAGGAAGTATTTATAGGTCACAGAAACTGAGGAAAATGTTTGAGATTAAAGGTTGTACTTGAGCCATTGTTTAGTAGACAAAGCTCAGAATGTTTTTTGTGAATCCCATAAGGAGTTGTGGGCATTGAATTCACTAGTATTTATGAAAGGAGGGGTTAGCTGAGAAATAAGATTTGATAGTTCAGCTTCGAAAACTAAGAAATTAGACGGAATATAAATACTACAAACAGTAATTTTGAATGGGTACCATACATAAGCTGCTACTTTTTCTAGTTGTATTTAAGAGGAGCTGACGAATAGAGATCGTTTGAAATAAATATAGATGTTCCGGCTCTTTGACATTCAGTTCTGATTCAATTTTGACTAACGAGATACTCCAAATAAATTGCATTAACAAAACTGATTATATCGAAGCTGTTAAACAACTCAAACCCAAAATGGCTGCTGGTATGACACCATTCCATCGTATGTATACATTTAAGTCTAATGTTTTGCAGAATTTTGGAAAACCTTTATCACCTCACCAATATTTAAACCAGGAAGCAAAATAGAAGTGAACAATTATGTGCATTCCATCCAAGTTATTGGCTCAAATTACCTATATAAAATTAATTAAATTAATAATTAATTAATTCACTAACAAGCACATAGTTGCTCAACAACGGGTTCATGGCCCAAAAGTCTATCAACACTTATCTCTTTATTAACAGTAATAATACTTTTGATACTTTACAAAATAAATCTCAACTAGATACAGTATTTACAGATTTTCACAAATTATTTTGAATAAGCTTAATAAATTCAGTTAACATGAAATGTTCTGGTACTGATTAAAAATTATCTAAAAAATAGTTGTTGGATTGTTAAATGCTTCTGAAAAATTTAATGCTAACTCTAGAGTACCTCAGGTATCTAATTTGGGACCTCTTTTATTTCTATTGTTCATAAATACCTGCCTTTGGTGTTAAAATATTTAAAATTTCTACTTTTTGCAGATGATCTATAATTTTTAAGAAAATACAGACTGAGTTTCTCTGATTTTTCTATATTTATGGGACCAATTCACTAGAATTAGAGACTATAATAAGTACAAACTTTATCTAACTGTGTCTTTTTTTTTATTTTTTTATCTACTTATTATCCCAATGGTCTTAAGTAACTAACCGTAATTTTCCTGATGTAGGTAATCTATTTAGAAAAAAAAACATATCATACCCAGTTGGATAGCCCTACAATCGCCATAGGTAGCGGCCAGCCACTTACACCTCCACGTCTTTCTCCTGCAACTCCTGCGAGAGAGACTGGCGTCGAGCCCTGCGGGAAACAGAGTCACTCCCTTACCTACTGCGATACTCTAAGAGAAATCTCGCCGGGACTGAAAATTGAGAGTAATAAAGTGCCGACGAATATTTTATATAAGTGTGATCCGGATTTACAGAGACGGACTATTTGAATTTTTTTATATATATAACGTATAAAGGTATATAAATTGATTATCAACACCAATATGGAGAGCTATGAAGTAGTTAGGTTGTAGAATCGTACTTATATCTTTATTAAAAAAAATATTAATTATTTTTCTATATCTGATGAAAAATTAGTAGATCAGTGACCCAAGCCGTTTCTAGATCCATTAGCGAGTTTACTTTATTCTTACATTTGTCAGATCACCCCATTATTGTATATAAAAGTTATAAAAACATTGAAATCTAGTTTTTTTGAGTTTACTGTATTATGGGGCACATAATTATTAACTAAACTTTCAATAACATTAGGATTATTAGCATCAAAACTATTATTAATGGCTAAATTTATTTTGTAATTATTAAATTCAAAACTTGACAATTCAAAATGTATCGCTAAAAGCTGAAGACTATGTGTGGTAGGTATCAATTAAAGAATGTTTCATTATTAAAATAAATGAACGTGATACATTATTGGTTTGTTTCTTCTGAAAATTGTAAATAAATGTAAAATTTTATTTATCTACATTTACTACAAAAAATAATGAGCTTAAGATCGGTTTAGATTATATCGTTGCTACTATCTATGTATACAAAACCTTAGAAATTATTCTTGTAAAATTGATTTGACTTTTGACATTTCTGCAAATCAAGAAACAGTGGGAAATGATTATTGTTAAAAACAAAAAAGTTGTCGGTCGTTTTAATTGGTCGTCATTCCAAATTCTTCAAAATCGTGAAAATATGATAATTTGACAGATGAAAAAAATAACGTATAAAAAAAACTTTTAAATGGTTTGATATTTTAAGCATTTTTTATGCATTTGAAATAGACTGTGACGTCCGGTGACCGGATACAATCAGACTTTTCGCACCAGCCATTCACATTTTAACAAGCTACGTGTTGTTTTAGATATTTACGTAACTTGTATATTCATAAACAAGATTTTATGGCTGAAAATAAACTATAATAGCTAATGAAAAATTAACAATTTTCCTCAAGTAATAACCAAATCCACTAGAAAGTAAATGGGTCATTTTACTGTAAAATAGAGACACATTAAACATAATTATATACTAAAAATAAACATTTTTCCACTCAAGTGAAATAGGTAAAGTAGAATTTTGTGTACGAACCGTATCTAATACGTTCCTGGTAATCTTGGGTGGAACTATATCCTTACCGGTAACTGTCAATTAGGTGTGAATTACCGCCCGTGTCTCCGGCAATAAACTCAGCTGTGATTATTTTTCTTCTCAGATTTATAAGCTTTTATTAGTCTCTGGTAGAGAAAAGTGTGGTGTAATGAGCTCTGCGTAAAAATATCCGGGAAAATATAACTAAACCAATATTTGTATTTATTAAAATTAACCTTCTTATACAGTCTTAAATTTATTTGAATTAATTTTCCAAATTAAAATATAGTAGAAAATTATATCATACATTTTCTAATTTTAGACCAGAGCTGAAGCCTTCGAAAATGGTAAAAAGTAAAAAAAAAGAATAGGATGAAACTTACCTTTTTATGTTCCAAACATACTGTAATTTTTTTTTATTTAAATTATTTTTTCTACTAGCGTGCGGAAAAGTCCTTTTTTCCGCACTCATTTTAGTGTTGAAAGAGTCACAGTGCGGAAAAAACTTTTTTCCGCACTAGTACATTTGTTAATTTTTTGGGTAATATACTGACATTTGAATATTTAAAATATATATTTGTATGGTTGTAGTTTACAAAATCACTAAAAAATTAAGAAATTTATTAGAATTCTGCTATAATTTTTAATAAAATGAAACGTATGTTTCAATAATTTTTTAATGGCCCTGGTAAAAGCCTCATCAAATGAATGTCAAATAATAATAAACATCTGACGTTTTTTATTTGTCACTTTGGATCACCGTAGCAACAAAGAAAAAATAAACCTGTCAGTCAAAACACTACCTTGTCAAAACCAAAGTTATCTGTTATGAGATCAGGCAAATAAAAGAAAGTAAGAAAATTAAATACATTTAATAAAAAGAATGCAAATACACATTAAATTAATAATTAACGGCTATTGAAAAGATGGATGAAAAATTAACTATTGAAAAATTGAATGAAATTGAATGTTGATATTTAAATTGGTTCTTTGTTTCGACCATGTACACCGTCAAATTTTCGAGAAAACTTTGAAAAACCGAAAAAAATGACGAAAATCGGCAGTTTAGGTGATTTAAAAATTTTTTCTTTAAAATTTTTTCCAATGGGTTTCTTCCTACTATAATTTTTTTTTGGTTCCAAAAATTATCTACCCTTGCCTATTTAGTATTATAAATAATAAAACATTTACCATTGCAAGTTTTTACCAAAGCATCTCGATTAGATTTGATTTTATAAGATTTATTTGATATAATAACGATTTTAAATAAAATCATGTCCAAATAGTTTTCTTTATCACCACCCTTAGCTTTGCATAATTTATCAAATTTTATACGTTTCACATTCAGTTGAAATTCTTAGAGCAGAGCGGTGACACATATAAATTGCATACCTTCGCTTTAAAAGATTCCTGCAGATTTTTGTGGATTACTTTTATTAGGCAGTAGCGAAGATTTCGCTGAATATTATAGAAAATAAAATTTAAATGCACTATTGAATTGAGTATTTTGTCTAGACGAAATTTTAATCCTTATGGATAATTGGAGAATTTAAATTTTCAAAATGTATATTTTATTGGAGATATTTTAAAGATTGACATTTTAAATTGGTTTTTAAGAGTTGCATTTTGTAATAAATTATCTGACCCATAAAGAGTGAAACATATTTTATAAATATTGTAAGTAACTACAAAAATGATGAAAATAATATTTTATTTGTATTGATTCTGTGTCATAACACTGAGAATTTATGATTGTAACAAATCGTTTATTTTGATTGAGTTTGTGTTAATGTAAAAAACTGTTAGTAAATAGTAATAAAATTAACGGAAAAAAATTATTTGTTTATATTAAATGATTTGTTCTATTTTATAATACTTGTCTTTAATATTTAAGGTATACGTCTAAAGAAATAATTGTCAGTTTCTCTTTAATTTTATTTTAATAGTGCTATACTTTTACTGTAATAATTTTACTCCATAATTTTACTTCTTCCATAAATTTACTTAATAATTTTACTCAATAATTGTTCTACACAATTTTACTATATAATTTTACTTCATAATTTTATTTATAAATTATCAGTAATTAAAAATTTTCAAGTTGTTTTTGTCTTGGTTTTGGGAAAATTTACTAAAAAATCTGATGTGTCCAACACATGACTTTCCTATCTACTTATTACAGGCTTTTTCCGGTTATTTTGTACAACCTATTGCAGCATCTCTATAAATGTTTAGAGGATAAACTAAATATATACATTTTCCACATACATCTACCGCGAAACATTTTTCTATAGATATTCATTGAAAATGAAAATACTGAAAAATTTAAATTTAGCACTTTTCCTACAATTTTTCCATTACGGTCCATTTTAAAAAAATCATGTATGAACAAATATTATAGAGATCGATATCGCAAACAACTTTTATTTCAACAATTTTCATAAAAATCAGAATTTTGCACATGTTGTCAAATTTTTCGAATACGGACCATTTCAAGAAATTTTTACATAAAGCAAAAATTATAGATAATAATATTAGAAGTAACTTTTATTTGAACAATTTTTTTCTCCAAACATAAATAACAGATATATTCCTTAAAATATAAAAACGGCCTCCCATAAAGTACCCCCCCAGATGTTCCGACTTTGTCCAAAATCTAATCATTTCACGTCAGGCCGAAATAAAACTTAAGTTTAAAATTTAATGTTTTTTTTCTTTATCCGTTTTTGAGTTTTCTTCAAAATTCGAAATTTACACATTTTCTCAAATATCTCGAATACGGTCCATTTTAAAGAAATTATGTATAGAATAAAATTTATAGAGAATTATATTACAAACAACTTTTATTTGAACAATTTTTATAAAAAATTATTTTTTTTACATTTTCTCAAATTTCTCGAATACGGACCATTTTAGGAAAATTTTGCATAAAACAAATATTATAGATAATTATATTAGAACTTTTATAAAATACTATATTATACTTATTGTATTGTATTAATTATATTAATATTTTGAATAATCTTTTGTTATTGAATGACTGTAATCATCAATTAGTTTTATGCCTTTGTTCAGCTCATATTAATATTAAAGTACTTAAAAAAAAAACTTTTTCGTATTTGGACATACAAACTTGTCTATAGATTTATTTATCACCAATTGAATCTCAGTCCTAAATATCACACGTTTAATACCTCGAATCCAAATACTAAAAAAATTGCATATGATAAGATTGACCTGTATATTAGTAAATGTAAATATAAATATAAAGAAAAACACATTATATTCTAAAATAAACGGAAGTAAAAAAATTGGTTTTATTTTAATATTTCTTTGCCGATCTCTAAATAAAAGTTTCATCATTCCATTCTGATTATAGCACCTTTTTAATATCTCTAAACATAAATCAATCATTTTGTTTATATTTCGTTCTGTGATATTCCATCGAGAAGTAAACTAAACAAACCATATGCCAGCGAACACCTGAATGACAGCCATTTATTTTGAATATTTAGTGTTTCCAAACAAATGTAATCTGTGTAGAAACACTTATTGCCAAAAATAATAGAATTTCTTCGAATCTAAACAACTTATCGTTGGTGATTGACCTACGCATTTTTTTTAATGCAAACAGGTCAAAAAATAATTTTTGGTGATTGATGCGCTTTTTTGGTTTTTAAATATTTATGATAAAAACCGACCTGGTTTTACATTAAAAAAAAAACATTACTCCTTTAAGCTATTTAATCTATTTTGTTTTGGATGCGCTATACATTGAGAAAAATATATTTTGTAGGTAAAAACTGATTTAATTATGGGTCATAGTTTTTTTTTTATTTGAAGAAAAGATCGC